ATATATGTATATATATATATATGTATATATATATATATATGTATCTATAAATACATATATGATATAATATAATTTCCCTCTCTGGCGTTTATATCTTGTCCTTAGTTTTTCTACATGAGTTATTATACTTATCTTATTATACTTACCTTGTGTGAAATCATTAATGTATAATCTTCTATGTGCTCATGGTTCATCAGGAGGGTGGTTAAATGACAAGCAAAGCATGTCTTTAAATTATACCACTCAGTAGAATGAAGACATTTATTTAGAGTATTGTTAGTGAGAAAAAATTCAATAGTCTATAGAATATAATGAAGTTAAAAAGCTAGATAAAATCAGCTGAAACGATAGTAATTGTAGAAGAGAATAGATGGCTGTGGGTGGGTAGATGAAGAGGGGTTAGCTTATCTTGATTTAAGGTCAGCAGGGAGTTGGAGATTATTGATGATTCATTGAGTGACTTGTTTCCCCTCCAAACATGTTGTAATAGGAAACTTAATGAGGAAGACTGGTAGAAATGATGATGCCAATGTAGAACAAAGTTGGTTAGAGAAAATTCATGCTACTGAGTTTTCAATGGGTATTCTGGAAAGGGATTTATTTCCATCAGTGGGGATAATGTGAACTTGTCATAAAATTCATAAAACCATCTTTTTCAGTTTGTAGTAGGAACTTCTGTAGCATGTTAATTGAGGTATTTCAGGCAACGGTGGAGCCTTTGGTTTTATTTGATCTCTCACTATTGCTGCTATGTAGCTTCCATTAATAAAAGTTATGTTGTAGTTAGGACTAAATGGAGCCTTAAAGGAAAATTATCTTCTAGGTTTTTGAAGCCAGTAGAGTGTTCTAATTATTATGTTAACATCAGGATATTTCTTGCTAAGAAGCTCACATTTCTTTGAAAAAATTGATTTGATTGTATCAATATGCTTTAAAACTAACAGTCTGTGTCTTCTGAGCAGGGAATTTAATCCATTTACATTTAGGGTTGTTACTGAAAGGTTTTGTCTTACTCCTGGTATATATCATCAATTTTCATTCAGATGTTTTAAACTTCTTTTCTTTCTTTTCCTTTTATTGTTTGTCTTTGGTGTTTATTGATTTTTGTAGGTGGGAACATACAGTTTCTTTCTTTCTTTTTTGCATTTTTGTTCTACCAGTGAGTTTTCTTCTTTCTTTTGTATTCATGGTAATGATTATCATTTTTTGGATTCCAGATGTAGGATTCCCTTGAGGATTTCTTGTAGGGCTGGTATTGTGCTGGTGAATGATGGAGTTTGAATGTATTGTCTTCCCAGAACTCATGTGGAAATCTGATCCCTAATATGGCAGTATTGGGAGGTGTTTGAGTCAAGGTGGCAGATCCTTCATGAATGGATAATGTTCTCCCTGAGAGGTGGGGTTAATGAGTGAGTTCTTGCTTTATCAGTTCCTGCTAGAGCTGGTTGTTTAAAAGACCCTGGCACTTCCCCCTCCCCTTTCTTCCTCTCACCATGTGATCTGCTTGTACCCACCGGCTGCCTGCTGCTTTCTGCTATGAGTAGAAGCAGCCTGAGACCCATGCCAGATGCAGCTGTCCCAGAATTGTAAGCCAAATAAACCTCCGTTCTTTATAAATTACCCTATTTCAGGTATTCTGTTATAGCAACACAAGATGGACTAATACAGTGAACTTCTGTAGTTTTTGTTTGTCTGGGAAATACACTATTTCTCCTTCATTTCTGAAGGATAGCCTTGCTGGGTATAGTATTCTTGGCTGGCAGATTTTTTCTTTTAGTATTTCGTATATATCATCCTATTCTCTTTTGGCCTGTTGAGTTTCTGTTGAGAAGTGGGCTGTTAGTCTGATGGGGGCTCCCTTATAGGTGAGTTGATGCTTTTCTCTTGCTGTTTTTTGATTCTCTCTTTGTCCTTGAGTTTTGTCAGTTTGACTATAATGTGTCTTGGAGAGGACCTTTTTGATTTGAATCATGTCTCTTCCTATACCGGGAATTTTTCCACTATTATTTTGTTAAATATATTCTCAATGCCTTTTCCTTTCTCCTCACCTTCAGGAACATGCATGATTCTGATGTTTGTGCAGTTAAGGTTGTCTGCTTCTCTCTCAGATTTTCTTAATTTTTAAAAATTGTTTTTGTGGGGGCCGACCCGGTGGCACACTGGATGGTGCGCCGCTTGGGAAGCGCGGCGGCGCTCCCGCTCAAGGGTTCGGATCCCACATACAGACCGGTTCCCGCTCACTGGCTGAGCGAGGCGTGGGAGCGACACCGAGGGTTGCAATCCCGTTGCCGGTCCCCGGTTCGGTACGGGGGCAACACTGAGGGTTGCGATCCGTTGCCGGACACGGAAAAAGACAAAAGACAAAAAAAAAAAATTGTTTTTGTGGGTTTTTTTTTTTTTTCTTTTTTTTTTGTTGGTTTGCGTGAGTTATTTCAAAGAGACTGTCTTCAGGACCAGCAGTTCTTTCTTCTGCTTGCTGTAGCCTGCTTCTTAAACTCTCCTTTGTATTTTTTTATTTTATTGAATGACTCCTTTAGATCCATGAGTTCTGCTACATTTTTTTTCCTAAGTATTAATCTCTTTGTTTATATCCTCCTTCATATCCTGAATAGTTTAGCTCAGATCATTGTATTGTTTGTATCTTCTTGTATCTCATTGATTTTTATGAAGATTTTTACTCAGAATTCCTTTTCAGTCATTTCAAGGCTTTCTTGCTCTATGGGGTTTGGTACTTGAGCATTGTTGTATTCCTTTGGTGGACTCATATTTTCTTTTTTCTGTATTGCCAGTATCTCTACATTGATGTCTAGTCATCTGGTAGAGCAGTCGCTTCTTTTATTACTCTTCTTCCCTGGACTCTGCTGATGACTCTACTGTGTCAGAACCATTGAGTGGTTGATGATCTGTTTGCATAGCAGCAGTAGCTACTGCAGCTGCTATTATGGTAGCAGGCTGCCCTTGTGGCAGTGGCAGCTGTGGTGATGGCATTGGTGGGCTG